TTTATAGTTATTTTCTGAGATATCGAAATGTCAGTGACGGTCATGAAGTAGATAAGCATTTTTATAGTATTTATGGGCTATACAACTTTTTACACATTCAAAAAGGTGTGACATTTGTTTTTTCAAGTCCGTTTTTAAATAGAATACCAAACAATATTTCTTTTTAACTCTAAACATGAAGAGATCATGATGACATTTTTTAAAATTTTCTCCCATATTTTGTGACGGTCCTAGTTCTATGAGTTTTCAGTATTTTAACATAGTTCGTGTTTCCCCATTTACAAATTTATTGAAGCTGGTCCCCCTTCCAATTTTATGATATATACTAGTATGTAGCTGTTTACATTAGAACTGTTAATCATATATGCACAAAAAGAAATATCATAAGATGTGGGAACGTTTTCGTGATTAATTCATCACCATATTTTCATCATATGCTATTAGATAGACGTTTTTCGTGTCAATACCAATCAAACACTATCCAGTTACGATTATCTTCTTATTTATTAATACCGAAATTACGATTATCATTTTTGCGAGTTACGATTATCATCCCGATTTTTTCGACGGCAATTTTCTAAGCGCTTAGACAATTATAGTGCACCGATACGATTCAAATATGATGTAATAGTATAGAAAAACCTTGCAGCTGAGTAACTTTTGACAACAACGGGCTACATTTGAGAAAAATGACTGAAGAGATTTTACCTATTTCTGCCGTCGCCATATTGGGATCGTCGTAATTCCAGTTACGATTATCAGTTTAACACCAGTGACTATGGGAGAAATCCTTCAGCCTTAAAACTCGTTCAGTTATTATCAGTACAAAATGTAAAAGTACTTAACAATTTAGGGACATATGTGTTTGCTGTCGAAAAACTTGGTAATTCATTTATAAATGCTATCTTCACCATTACTGTTTCTATATACATGTACATGTATGGGTGTATTGACTGACTTTTGTGTATATTTTGTTATATACCAAGATGTATACCTATAAGCTATACTGTTTTTGGAAATAAAGCATTATTTTTGCACAGGTTAACTTAATTTTTTTTATCGTTTAAAAGATCAATTTACTGTAAATGGATCGCAGATTTTTGTAAGATTTTGCATCTAACTTGTTGGATTTTTATCCGATAGTCGAAAAAATACTTTAATAAAAATTCTTAGATAAGGTTGAATATTACTTTTTTTTAGATAATGACAAAATTGTACGGAATGCACGTAAAATTGACAAACATTTTCTATAAATGACCTTTAACACTATCCACCAAATAAAATAACAAATGGTTATTTCGTGGAATGTCAATTTCATCTCACATCACTTTCCTTCAAAATCTGGGGTTCGTTTAGGGATGGAAAATAAGTTTTATTCTTGTGTTAGGATTTTCATTAATATAATTGTAGCATTTTTTAGCTGCAGTATAAAAACAATTTAAGGTCAACATAAGGAAAATATCAACTTTTTTGTATTCGGCATAAAACTGTTGAAGGGCTCGTAAAACCTCGATCTTCCACAGTTTCCTACCAAAAAGTTAATATTTTTCTTACATTGACCTAATCACGGTGCATTAGAACTCTCATTCCTTATAGATTTATTGAACTGTCATAATTTAAATACTAAGTTGTTGTTGTTGTTGCCAAATAAATTTACCTTTCACTGATTTGAAGTAGCAGTATTCGCTTTTGATGTTTAATCATTCAAAGAGATGTTTTTTTAAAAGAATTATTATCAAAATATCCCAAAACGTCAAAATATGCGCAAAATTGTACTAAGTGCTATTATGAGTCTAAGGCGTTATTTGTCGACGTTTTTTCACCTTAACATAGTAATAGGATAGTTGAAGTGCACGAAATTAGTGACCTTAGTATGATTATTTTATAACAGTTAAACGGAAAATCTAGTAAAACCGGGTCACTCTTTTAAAGAAAAATCAATGGAATCCGATTATTTTATTTTAAATATGTTGATTCTAGGACAATTTCAAAAATTGTGTTTCCTGATTTTTGTATGCATCTTATACAAATGCATGTATACATCTATATATTAAAAATATCCATATAATGACAATGGAGATTTGAGCGATAAAAAAAGGACTTTGAGCGCCAAAGTATAGGACATTTGAGCACCGAAATTTAAGGACATTTGAGAGAAAATAAAAAATAAACATGGGACATTTTTCGCCACTAGGCCTAAGTGAAACCTATACAGCATTTGCCATGATCTCAATTGACGGGAAAAAATCCTTCATACTGACTCTTTCTTCAAAATCGTCTTGTACTGCTCTTGGTTGAAATGTGTGACCTTGATCAGAACATAACTTGACAATTTATGAAAAGCAATTCATATATTCTTCAGACTTTCCAGGAAGTAAGCAAAATATAAGAGGGACATAATTTCCGTTCTTGTAGCCATGAATAGTATATACTTGTTTAAAGAACTTTGGGCAATATTTGTAAGTACCATCCATAAAAATATCCGGCACACTGCATAAACATTCAAGATTTGTTGCACACGTAAGAATAATTATTCCAGTTTTTCAACATTAACCTGTACACAATTTTCAAATTTATCTGTTTCTTTTGAACTTTCCGTTTATCTTTTTTTTTAACGTCAAGAGTAGAATAAATAAGTAAATACAAGCAAGAAACGTTTGATAATTTAAACCACCCTCATATGAATAATTGTTTTACTTCACTAGCAAAGTTTTTAGGTCTAACACTAATGCATTATTACATACCAAATCATACAAGCCTTTGGCTTTGAACTAGCTGTCAGTGACTGCGAACTCTTAGATCTGTACTTAACGTCGTTTTGTTGTGGGGATGTATAAGTACCCTGCCACGTCCACTCTGTGTTTTTGTAGGATGTATTTCTATTTGTATGCATCTGATGAGTTAACGAAGCCTTTTTCAACTGATTTTTATAGTTTGTTCATATGTTGTAGTGTTACACCACTGTCCCAGGTTAGGGGGGGGGGGGGGGGTTGCCGCCTTCAAACTTGTTTAACCCCGCCACATTACGTATGTGCCTGTCCCAAGTCAGGAGCCTGTAAGTCAGTGGTTGCCGTTTGTTGCTTTGTAACATATTTGTTTTTTCGTTCATTATTTTGTACATACGTCAGGCCGTTAGTTTTCTCGTTTGAATTGTTTTACATTTTGTCATTTCGGGGCCATTTATAGCCGACTAAGCGGCCAGTATGGGATTTTCTCATTGTTGAAGGCTGTATGGTGACCTATAGTTGTTAATTTCTGTGTCATTTGGTCTCTTGTGGAGAGTTGTCTCATTGGCAATCATACCACATCTTCTTATTTTTATATCTACAATCATATATTTGACTTGTTAATATTTATACCGTAAAAGCGTGATTTGGGGGTCTCTACATTTCAAGTCCTATATTTCAATATATATATATTTAAACACATCTAGATTCTGACTGAACACATGTCAAAACTAGAAAATAAATTCCCAGGAACGATTTCATCAAATTTTGGCAATTAAACGAATGATCATGACAGCTATAAAATTATTTCAGCCTGTACGTCACATGTATCATGTGCGTTCGAAGCCAACAGTCAGAATATTAAGAATAAATAATTCATCCTTACCTTTCTTCCAACTAATGTTTCAATGGTATGCTTCAGAGAAACCTTCTGGTCTTGGAAGAGAACGTTCTTCACGCAGTTGATGATTGATGATAATAGTTAGCTTTAAATGATAAACATTTATTATATCACACGACATCGTCGAAATGTTTTTTTTTTTTTATGATCCTTTTCCTGTGTTTCATTGATAAATTGGGGAAATTGCATCTGCAGACTGGATGTAAACCCCACATGGAATTATACCCCAGAGTGAACGATGTGTGTGAAAAGACATTAATGAAAATTGAAAATTCAGCACATTCAAGAATGATTTTATATCGATCTCAGAAATAAATATTTAGTAAATAAAGAAACAAACACTATTCTTTTATATTTTCCTCTTTTTTATCAATATTGTTATTATCCAACTTTTGTGTGTGTTAAATTTGATATCCAATTATTTTCATAAACTTTTATAAACAACAAGGATTTGTAAAGTGAGATCTCACAAAATCATTGTAAAGAAAACAACTTTTTATAAATAGTGAAAATTGTTCTGTTTTTGGGGTTTTCTGCCGTTTTTGTTTGTTTGTTAGGAATGAGAGACATGTAGAGTGGGTGGCGCATATTCGCCTTGGACACATTTTCGCCGTTTTGCTATTTCTTATGTAAAATTTGTGTGCCTTTACCCGATACTTGCCTAAATAGATGGTAAAGGCTGTTTGTAATGTTCGAACTGTTGATATTCCTCTTTACCCCATTTCCAAGGTTATTCGCACATATTGAGAAATACGCAGGTGTTTTTAAATTATTTTGGCAATTGTGTAAGATTTATATGGCAATCATGCGCAGTCTTAAAGTAAATATTTGTGAGAAAAATCGAATAGGAATGATCTCTCAAGCTAATTCATGTAATTGCAAACATTCGTTTTTATAATATACCAGGATAATGAGGATGGTCATATCATACATTGCGGCGAAAATGTGTCCCCCATGGTACACGAACAACTTAATTTCCTCTTGAGTTTGCGTTCGTTTTTAGAACAATTGACCAATGTTTTGAAGATAATTTCTTTATCAAACATTTTTTTCATATAGTTAAATTTCTGAAACCTTCATAAAAAGTTCCAAATATTCGAATGTAGGTCGGATGTAAGTGGAAATGAACGAATTATGCGGCGAATATGGGTCTCTCACTCTATATCATATGTCTCTCATTTATAAATATTCCTTTCATTTCCTAAACTTAACATACTTATTTGTTTTATTCTATTTTTCTGTATTTGAGAAAACTGCAGTTAGTATAATAGTCCCAGCACGTACTATGTATGTCACTACTTTCATTTTCTGAAACATGCGTATTTAAATTGTAGTTTGAAACCGTCCCTTATTTTCAGCGGGAAAATCACACGTGCATTGAACAGGGGAAGAAATTCTGGCTATGCCGCCGGAGGCCTGCTGCAGAACATTTCGACTATTTATCCAGGTAAAACTAATACTTGGCCACTTACAAGGCCTTTAACAGGGGCGGGTCCAGGTAAGGGCGTAATGGGCGTACGCCCCCCCTTTTCAAAAAAAAACAAAAAACAAAAAAAAACTATCGTTATCTGCTTATATTGTATTGAATAGGGCAATTTATCATATTCATTAATTAAACACATACTCTGATTTCTTTTTATACTGATTCCCCCATCCGATGGGTGACTTGGACACCTTTTTTAAACAACCAAAGCAGTAAGCAAATCTATACATGAAATGGTTGTTTTGTGTGACTCGTCCCCAATGGCCATTCTACATCTACCCGGGGGATATTCGCTATATATATGATACCGGGTATGTTCCGACAAACGGGGTTGCATTTTCAGCTAAATTGTCTGAAATGGGGTTATGTTTTTTTCGCCTTGCATTGGAAGGGGTCAGATTTGACTATCTAGAACGGGTATTATAAATACAATGTTGCACTATTGTTTCAGATAAGGGTGAATGTTTGGTACCATTAAAACGTTTAAACCCACTGCAACTGTTTGCACCTGTCATAAGTCAGGAATCTGATGTTCAGTAGTTGTCGTTTGTTGATGTGGTTCATAAGTGTTTCTCGTTTCTTATATAGATTAGACCGTTGGTTTTCCCGTTTGAATGGTTTTACACTAGTAATTTTTGGGGCCATTTATAACTTGCTGTTCAGTGTGAGCCAAGGCTCCGTGTTGAAGACCGTACTTTGACCTATAATAGTTTACTTTTATAAATTGTGACTTGGATGGAAAGTTGTCTCATTGGCACTCATAGCACATGTTTTTATATCTACTAAATTGAACACAACGTTCAAACCTATGATTGCGTTGGATAAAAACCGCAATCTTTATACGTGTGCATGCAAAACAAATTTCTTGGTAAAGGGGTCTAAATACAGCACAAACAACATTTTCCAAAAGACCAAAACAGTGTCAGTGAAAAGGAATATTTTAACAAAACGGTCGGGTATGGATAAATATATATATCAAAAGTTCGGAAAAAGCTATCGTTAAAGATTTATTTTTCATTTTTCCTGCCCATTTCATATAACCTTTAAACTGAATTTACAACTTCTTCCAAAGATTTGATATCCACATGTTAATCAATACATAATTTGAATGATCCGAAGGCAGACTATTTTCACCAATTTGTCTATCATGGAGTCTGTTATAATACTTCATAATTTGATGCTAAATTGTTGAAATCCAGGAGCTTCTGACCTTCCCCATGGACCCTATACCAGGGCAACCGGAATTACGCCTCCCGTTCATAAAATCCTGGCCTAGGACTATTGAAATGTAAAGTAACGCCCTATACCCTAGAATTTGGAATTTCTCGTTATTGGTCTACTGCTGTTAAGATTCATCCAATCATTTTAATATACCATAGACAACTAATGGAGAGAATTCGGCATAAAAAATATCAAACCCTGACACTTTAACTATAAAATATACATGCTCCAAGTCACTCCGCGGGAACCGTTACATTAGTGCATTTCACAATTATTTTATGTTTTTTAGCTAAAAAAAGGTCGAAGAAATACGGAAGAATGTAGTCTACGCCCCCTCTTTCAAATATCCTGGAAACGCCCCTGTTTAACCAAATACTTTCTTTTTAGCATTCTTCTGATGACAAAATAATCAAGCTTTTACCGAAATTTCAACAGAGGATAAACTGCAAAATCTATGTCTATCCATGGTTTAAATGAAGATCAATTTCAGGATGATTTGTTTATTGAAAATGGTTGTAAATATGATAAAGTTTGTTTTGCAGAAACTATGTTGAGAGAGTCTCCAGGAAATCTTCCAGGTTTTACATCTCCCTATAAAGTTAAGCCTATTAAGGCAAAAAAGGGGGAGACCATCAAGTGGCATGCTTGTAATTGTATTTATATTTTAAGCCAAATTTAAAAATGTAATTTCTGAAATAAAACAGAACAACTTCTAAATATGGTTAAAAATAGATGGAACTTTTCTCAATTCAGAGAAAGATATTTTTCTATGTTTTATCCTACCGTAGTCTATAATTGGTCATAACGTTGATTCGTTCGGATTTGGTTATTGTACTTATCATACGAAAAAACTCCGCATTGACGTCACTACGCTAATACCAGCGTATAAAATTAGTGCAGAATACATTTTTTCTACACTTCTAAATAAAATGATATTTCTAAAGATATGTTTTCATTATTTTTCTTAAGTATTGTACAAAAATGCAGATTTTCTAATGGCCATTTCAAACCTGACTTCCGAATGCCTAAAAACATTTCAGAACTTAAGAAAACCCCTCTTCCGGCCTCCATTGCTTTGTTTACATTCCATTGAGCTCATCAATCTTAATGGCAGACCAAACAGGCCAAGCAAATTGTATTTTTAAGAATTTCAAAATGGCAAGCACCTTACGTCTTACTCGATTTTCCCGCGAAAAAAAACATCCAAATTGAAAGAAAAACTTTGGGAAACAAACGATAATCATGCCATATTTTTGTTCAGGAATATAGAGTAGGTTAATAAAAAACAATATACATATATTTTTCATAAAAAAAAAATTTGGTTCAATATAAAGAGATCGATATTCTGACCATAAGTAAATATTCATATAAAATTCCATTGATGTCAAATTTCATGGCTAATAACAGTCTTCATGTTGAGTGGCAGCCCAGGCAGCCCAGGCTTGTAATATTGTTCTCGGGCCTGTAAAAATCATATCTACAAGCCAACAGAATCTAACTCAAAATTTTCAAAAATTGAGCTCCGGGCCTGTAGCTTTAGCAGTTCATCATGAAGACTGTAATAATGAGGTTTCCTATTGAATAAACCCCCAATTTATTGCAAACCATTTCAAAGCAATATCATACAAACAAATAATATAATTGCCTTGTACTAAAAAATCACCTAATTGACAGTAGAGCAATTTGATTGGATATAACGATTCAATGTGTCAGGTGGTTTTGAAGCCATTAGAATGTGAATGTAAACAAACCCGGTCAGCTGCTCCAGTATGGAACGACATGTACATTCAGTAGCCAAGAAACAATTATGAGTAACCAAGCTTGACAATACACAGTAATAAAAAAACAAAACTAAGTCTACAGAAAAATAAAATAAAAAATGGCCTTAAGTGCACGACTTACCACCATTGCGGGATACTTACATCAAACCATATTGGCATATATACATGATATATATTAAAATAAAAGTGTTATTAGGTAAACTTGGTTTTCAGCATGTTTGGGAAAATCAAAATACTATGTCAAAGACAAAATTACTTTTTCATTTCAAAAGAAATTAGAGGAGGAATTCATAAAATCCTGGAAACAAGCTCTTTTTTGTGACTAATAAAGATAGTCATGGTAATAAACTAAGAACGTATCGCAAAGTTAAAAATAATTTCTAATTAGAAAAATATCTCCTACTGGACCTTAACAAAAGTGTTATTTCTAAAATGGTAAAAATTAGAATTAGTAATAGCAAATTACTAATAGAAGTTGGTAGATATACTAGAACACCTTTAGAACAGAGAATTTGTCAAATTGGAAAGAATCGAATTGAAGATAAATTCCATTTCCTCATTAAATGTAAAGCGTTAGAATTTAATAGAAATATACTCTTTTTTGTAATTTAAGTGATATAGTTCCATCATTTGTTAATATGTCTGAACAAGATAAATTTAGTTTCATTTTGAAAAGTAATGATACTGACATTTGTACTGTATGTGTAGCTGGAATAAGCGATAAGTATGATTTGAACATTCATTTAAAGCAAACATAATGTTGTTAAGAACTGTTGTAGTATTAATTTAAAAGCTTATTGTAATAGCTTGAATTAATAATTAGTATGAATAACACCTCCACACAATGTAAATATAAAATATGTGTCTCTTATCATTGAGAAAATATGCTTCTGTATATTTGTTTTTGTTTATTTTTATGCCCCCGCCGTAGCGGAGGGTGCATTAGGTTTAACCCTTGTCCGTCTGTACGAACGTCTGTCCCTACGTCCCAAAGTTGGTTTCCTTTCTCTAACTTTAGTTTGCCTCAACCAAATGTTATGAAACTTATACACAATGCTTATTACCACAAAACACAGATCAAGTTTGAATTTTGGTGGCTTCACTTTAACCGTTCTAGAGTTATGCCCCTTTACAAATGGAAAAATTACTGAATTTTTCGTTTCCGTTCTCTAACTTTAGTTTGCCTCATCCAAATGCTATCAAACTTATACACAATGCTTATTACCACAAAATACAGATCAAGTTTGAATTTTGGTGTATCAATTTAACCGTTATAGAGTTATGCCCCTTTACAAAGGAAAAAATTGCTGAATTTTTCGTTTCCGTTCTCTAACTTTAGTTTGCCTCAACCAAATGCTATCAAACTTATACACAATGCTTATTACCACAAAATACAGATCAAGTTTGAATTATGGTGAGGCCAGGGAAAAATGATTGTTGGTTTCCCCTAACCCGACCGGGTCTGTTTAATACCGCCGGGTCATTTATTTTTTTTGACTAAAGGAAAAAAAAAATAACGGCTGTCTTGTTCTGATCCGGCAATGTTGAATCAAACATTTTTTTTATATATACGTTTCAGTTTTGTTGTTTAGAAGCACATCAATGTCAAGGTAATGTTTTCACGCCTTGGTATCTAGATCGCGGAAGCGCTTAACTGATTGGAATGATAACAATGATTGCAAGCTATTTGTTCCCCTCTTGTAAAGATCCTCAAAATGGCCACCTCGGCACCGAGCACCAGTATTTATATGGGGGAGTTGGGCATTACATTTCTTTATACATAAAATTAAAATGATGGTGGTGTTATGAAAAAAAGAAAAAAGGAATGTGTTATTATTTCCAGTGAAACAACCACAGGGGTTTGTTACAATTTGCCGGGTTTACTATCCATACGAACCTAGAAAAAAACATGGGTTCGTATGGATAGTAAACCCGGCAAATTGTAACAAACCCCTGTGAAACAACTATGCACCAGAGAATGATGTGAATGTAAGCAACTATTATTCAAGATACCCTGTAAGGCCATCAACAATTTAATAGCCAAACCTATGCCACACGGGTTTGTTACAATTTGCCGGGTTTACTATCCATACGAACCCCAAATGCGTCGGACTAAAACATGCCCCATAGACAACATACTGAAGAAACAGTCATTGTAAATAAAATTTGAGAAATTGTATGTAATATTGTAAATATCAAATAAAAGTTTTCAAGTTTTATTTTAATACATATTACATACAATTTCTTAATGGAAATGTAACAATAATAAAATAATTATTGTTACATTGGAGACTAATTGCCGGAATACAAGGTTGGGTAAGGGACCGATTAACATGATTAATTACAAATGTAACAATAATATTTGTGTCTACGGTTACATGACTATTGTGTCATTGTTACATTAATGCAATTCAATGTACGCAGGGATCGTATGTAACCGTAGCCAGTGCCTTAAAGATAATAGGACCTCTCTTTTAGAAAAGTTTTTCCAAGTATAATGAATTTCCCCCCTTTTAAGTTAAAAAATCTAAGGTTTTCTTTTTAGCTCACCTGGCCCAAAGGGCCAAGTGAGCTTTTCTCATCACTTGGCGTCCGTCGTCGTCGTCGTCCGTTAACTTTTACAAAAATCTTCTCCTCTGAAACTACTGGGCCAAATTTGACCAAACATGGCCACAATCATCATTGGGGTATCTAGTTAAAAAAATGTGTCCGGTGACCCGGCCAACCAACCAAGTTGGCCGCCATGGCTAAAAATAGAACATAGGGGTAAAATGTAGATTTTGGCTTATATCTCTGAAACCAAAGCATTTAGAGAAAATCTGACATGGGGTAAAATTCTTTATCAGGTCAAGATCTATCTGCCCTGAAATTTTCAGATGAATCGGACAACCCATTGTTGGGTTGCTGCCCCTGAATTGGTAATTTCAAGGAAATTTTGCCGTTTTTGGTTATTATCTTGAATATTATTATAGATAGAGATAAACTGTAAACAGCAATAATGTTCAGCAAAGTAAGATCTACAAATAAGTCAACTTGACCAAAATGGTCAGTTGACCCCTTAAGGAGTTATTGCCCTTTATAGTCAATTTTTAACCATTTTTCGTAAATTTTTGTAATTTTTTACAAAAATCTTCTCCTCTGAAACTACTAAGACAAATTTAACCAAACTTGTCAACAATCATCATTAGGGTATCTAGTTTAAAAAATGTGTCAGATGACCCCACTCGCGAACCAAGATGGCCGACATGGCTAAAAAATAGTACATAGGGTAAAATGCAGTTTGTGGCTCATATCTCTGAAACCAAAGCATTTAGAGCAAATCTGATGAGGATAAAATTGTTCATTAGGTCAAGTTCTATCTACCCTGAAATTTTCAGATGAATCGGACAACCCATTGTTGGGTTGCTGCCCCTGAATTGGTAATTAAGTCTCCCAAACGAAGTTTGGGAAGACTTATTGGTTTTGCTCAGTTCTTCTTCTTCTTGTTTTTCTAATGTTTTTTTTTTTTTTTTCTTTTTTTTTTTTCCCGAAGGAACTGTGAGCTTTAGCCATCACTTGGCGTCGTCCTTTGTCGTCTATCTGGTGTAAACTATTTCAAACATCTTCTCTGAAACTACCAAACCAATTCCAACCAAACTTAAGCTGAATGATCCTTAGGGTATCTAGAATAAAGTTTGTGTTTTATTTTCTGTTTCGTCAAAAAACATGGTCACAATGGCTAAAAATAGAACATAGAGGTAAAATGCAGTTTTTGGCCTATATCTAAAAAACCAAAGGAGTTAGAACAAATCTGTAATGGGGTAAAAGTGTTCATTAGGTAAAGTTTTATCAGCCCTGAAATTTTCAGATGAATCTAATAACCCATTGTTGGGTTGCTGCCACTAAATTGGTAATTTTAAGAAAATTTTGCAGTTTTTGGTTATTATCTTGAAGAGTATTAATGATAAAGATAAACTGTAAACAGCAAATATATTCAGCAAAGTAAGATCTACAAATAAGTTTATATGACCAAAATTGTCAATTCACCCATTAAGGAGTATTGCCCTTTGAGGACAATTTTACACAATTTGTTTATGCTTTCTAACTTTAACAAATCTTCTCCTCTGAAACTACTGAACCAATTCCAACCAAACTTGGGCTGAATGATCCTTATGGTATCTAGAATAAAGACTGTGTTTTATTTTCTGTTTCGTCAAAAAACATGCCCGCCATGGCTAAAGTTAGAACATAGGGGTAAAATGCAGTTTTTGGCTAATATATCTCAAACACTTAAGCAATTAGAGCAAATCTGATGAGAGGTTAAAATGTTCATTAGGCCAAGTTCTATCAGCCATGAAATTTTCATATGAATCTAACAGTCCATTGTTGGGTTGCTGCCACTAAATTGGTAATTTTAAGGAATTTTGCAGTTTTTGGTTATTATCTTGAATATTATTAATAATAAACATAATAAAAATAAACTGTCAACAGCAAAAATGTTCAGGAAAGTAAAATCTACAAATAAGTTAATATGACCAAAATTGTAAAATGTGTCCTTAAGGAGTTATTGCCCCTTTAAAGACAATTTTTCATAATTTGTTCATCTAGTTTGCTTACTTTAAAAAATCTTCTCCGTTGAAACTGCTGAATCAATTTCAGCCAAACTTGGGCTGAATGAGTTTCAGAGTATCTAGAATAAATTTTGTATTTTATTTTCTTGTACATAAAGAAATATAGCCACTATGGCTAAAATGGAACATAGGAGTAAAATGTATTTCTTCACTTCAGAAGAAAATATGACAGATACAAAGAACATCTAAATGGAATTTTTAAGCCACTCATTAATATATATTAAAAAGCAAAAATAATCATTCATGGAAAATTTAAGCAAAAAATTACAGGTGAGCAATTCAGGCTTTTGAGAGCCTCTTGTTGTTTTATCTGATTATTTTTAACCGAGTTATGATCCTTGAACTTAGAATATATATTCACTCAAATAATAAATTTTCTTCCCTATTTTTTTGTAATGCTTAAAAAAATATTTAACATTTGTTATATAATTTAAACAATGCAAGTTATAGATAAAGTTAGTATTTAGTTCCAGTCCATTGTATTTTAATAAGTAGTAAACTATCTTTTAACATGCATTACTTTCATAATACTTGTTAATTTCTGTTTATTTATTTACAGACCAATATACTGATCAATGTTGGAAATAACAATACAATCATGATCCAAAAGAACAAAAAAGGTAATAACTATTAATATATCTCCATTATATCCCCAAAAATAAAGGTAAAATTAGGCAAGTGTTAAAACAAAACAGTTTTAATTTTAATGGACAGATCATCACTCAGCTTCTCCAAAAACTTATAACAAACTTATGAATAACAAACTCCAAATTTCGATATTTTTACAAAAATTGAAATTTTCAGTCAAAAGATTGTTTCAAATTCAAATTTAAAAAGTGCAAAACACTACATTTACACATCATCACAAATATTTCCGATTGTGTATGGTTTCAGAAGAGTTGTGACTCAATGAAATCAATCTAATCCTTTAATAGTATAAATAGATAAACATGTAATAATTTCAATGTAAGTTGAATAACTACAATAACCATGATTAGTTTGGTAATACAGTGAAATAAATGCATCAAGTCAATGGATATGTTTTATTCAAAAGGTATAATATATTAAAACCCAAAGTATAAATATGTATATATAATCAACAAACACAACAAAAAATAACATTTATATTTAATTAGTACAAAGAAAGATAACTCTTCCTTTTAGATTGATTGATTGATTTTTTTGGTGTTTTAACGCCACTTTTAAGCACCGCTTTTGGGCTATTTCGTGGTGGCCAGCTTTTATTGGTGGAGGAAGCCGGAGTGCCAGGAGAAAACCGCCGACCTTCGATAGGAAAACTGACAATCCTAGTCAATTAAGATTGGAATTGAGTGCAACCGCACAAGCAGGGTTCCAACTCACAACCTCAGTGTTGACTGGCTAGTGATTACAGTAGTAACTACTTAGACCACTCGGCCACCAAGGCCCCCTTTCCTTTTAGAAGATATAATCACAAATACTCATGATGTAAACCATGAAAAGTATTGTGCTCATCATTAATAATACATATTAAAATTAAATTCTATGATTTAGTCTAATCTTTCAATATTTTAAGCAACATATCTACCAAATATTCATCTGATAGTCATTTCCAGGAATTTTCATAACAAATTAATAAGAACTGTGTATTAAAATACCTAAATCATAGACAACAACATACCACAACAACCTTATTAGAACATATCAGCTGCATAAAATACAAATTAACCTCATACAAGTAAATGTATACAGATACATGTATAACACGATGATTTGATAGATTTTCAAACATTCACATACAAAATAAAAGACGATTGTTTTTTTGTTCATAGGGTTCATTTATTGTCGAGCCTTCGACATTTGTCGAAAAAGGGAGAAATAGCGATACCAAATTCCGTCGGCGGCATCCACAAATATTCACTCTGTGGTTAAAGTTTTTGAAATTTTAATAACTTTCTTAAACTATCCTGGATGTCTACCAAACTTGGACAGAAGCTTGTTTATGATCATAAGATAATATTCCAAAGTAAATTTTGTAAAAAAAAAATCCATTTTTTCCGTATTTTACTTATAAATGGACTTAGTTTTTCTGCCAGGAAACATTACATTCACTCTGTGGTTAAAGTTTTTGAAATTTTAATAACTTTCTTAAACTATCCTGGATTTCTACCAAACTTGGAAAGAAGCTTGTTTATGATCATAAGATAGTATCCAGAAGTAAATTTTGTTAAAATTTTGTTTCATTTTTTCCGTATTTTACTTATAAATGGACTTAGTTTTTCTTCCAGTTAACATTACATACAGTCTGCAGTTTAAGTTTTTAAAAAATTTATTAGATTCATAAACTATCCTGGATTTTTACCAAATTTGGACAGAAGCTACTTACAATCAAAAGATAGTATAGACAGGAATATTTTTATTAATTTTTTTCGTCATTTTTGTTGAGCCTGTGATTAAAAGCAAAAGTAGGCGAGACACTGGGTTCCGCGGAACCCTTACGAATTTTTGATTTAATTTGTCCCCAAAAAATAAAGAAGAAAGGGACTTTTGGTTTGCACACTGTGTGTCTGTCTGTCTGTCCATCCGTCAGTCCAGCAAATCAGACTTATATTGATTTGAAATTAGGTATATAGTTTATATATCATAAGTTTTTTCGTCATGCTTGAATAAAATAACTTAATATTTGTTAAATAAATTACACAATGACAAGTTAAAGATCAGGATAGCATTTTGTTCTAAACAATGAATAAAAAACCAATAGGAAACTTGTTTTCAAACCGTTCCATATTTTCCATACAGATGTTATATACACGAAACAGGTTAAAAAATGAATTAATATTCAAACAATAAACAGAATCTGAACAAATCTGCATGAACAAACATCATGATATAAGCATTGTTAACATGAATGACCACAGTCTCCAAACAACAAGCTGTTAATGCCACCTAAAAAAGTGGGGTATACTGTTTTACCTCTGTCTGTCCTTCCGTCAGTCCATCCATCCATCCATCAGTCGGTCCGTCCCATGAATATTTTTTGTCACATTTTTCTCAGGAACTACAATACGAGGATTTCTGAAATTTAGTTTCAGGGTTTATATAAGTCAGCTATACCGTGTGATGCCTTTTCATTTTTAAGGTCTTTCCACTACGTTAGGAAAGACCTTATTGTTTTTCTAATGTTTTTTTTCTTTTTTTTTTAAGGTCTTTCCAGTCCGTTGGGAAAGACCTTATTGTTTTTCTAATGTTTTTTTTTTTTTTTTTTTTTTTTTTTCTTCCAGCATTTTTTTGACATGGCCTCCCCCCGTTTCTATTGGAGTTACCAAATATGGACCATCGATAGACCTCATCATGAAGTATTACCAGATGAGGCTGTGTAGGATTTCATCATCCCCTTTAGAAGTTATCTCCCTTTTATTGGTTTTTTTCGACATGGCCCCCCCACTCTTGTTTTGAAAGATATCAAGACCTTATTTGAACAATAGGTAGATCTCATCATTATGTATTACCATATGACGCTGCGTAGATTTCATCATCCCCTTTGAGAGTTATGTCCCCTTGAAGCAATTTCTTTTTTTTAAAACAATTGATTTATATTTAAGGTCTTTCCACTCCGTTTGGCCTTATTGTTTATCTTATGTTTTTTTTTTGGTCTTTGTTAATTTAAAAAAAAATCTCATTTTAGATTACAATCATAGCCATCAAATCAATTAGTTTGATAGATGCTGCAGCAGCTATCAAACTAATAAAAGATACTGCAACAATACCTGTAAGTATTTAAACTAATTTACAAGGAATGTGAGATGATTGCAAATGAGAAATATATATATATAAAAAAAATAGGTCACCTAATTATGTTCAACCACGAGCAAACCAATACCTCATAGTCAACTATAAGAGACCCCTTAATAACAAGAAATGAAAATGGAAAACTATTTTATTCCTGACACAAAGCATTTACTTATGTATGAAATAGTGGATTAAACTCGGTTTTGCAGCTACCAAAACGAACTAAAAAAACACAGAACTAAAAAGGCTTTATAAAAAAGAAAAATGTAAAGATCAAACGAATGGAAAACAACTGATATTCCTTACACAGTACAAAAATTAACTTATGTAAAAAATAGTGGACTAAACTTCGATATACAGCTACCAAAAACTCTCATGTGTATGACAGTCACATTAATTCCATTATGTTGACAAAAATGAATGCTGTTTTCCAATTTTGACATTTTTACGTATTATATGTTTGCTTTTTTCACACTTGTCACGATTGAAGAAAATGACTTAATATTTGTTATAAAATTTAAACAATGAAAGTTAGTATTTTGTTCCAGTACAATCAATTATTAACCAAAAGTGCAATATGTACTAACATGGAATATTCTCAAAATGCTTGTTAATTTTTGTTTATCTATTTACAGATTAACCTGAATATGAATATAGGAAATGCAAATACCATCTTAATTAAAGGTAATAACTATTATACAACTCCAAAATGTCTTATTAAGTCTCCCAAACGAAGTTTGGGAAGACTTATTGTTTTTGCTCAGTTCTTATTATTATTATTATTCTTCTTCTTCTTCTTCTTCTTCTTCCGCCGCTTTTAAATTTGAACTTGTCCGCACCCGTTCTCCAAAACCGCTTGTCAGATTAACTTAGGGTTTCACAATATGTTAGACTAACATGTCTAGTGGTGCAATCAGGGTTTTGTTTGTGCAATGGGGTTTATAAAGGGGTACTTTGAGGGGCAAAAAGAAAAGAGGGTTTTACTATAGAACCCTATGGGATTTTATTTTTTTAAATTTTCAAATGATTATAAATTGAAAACCGTTTGTGATAGACACAATCTTTTTAATTGAAAATGTTCTAAATGATAAAGCCCATTAAATGAAATACAGGGTTAGTCCCCAGGGGTCACCCCCACCCCCTGCCATTTAAGAAAGTTCTAATACCTTGTAAGTGGTAAAGATCCCCACCCCTAAACCATATATATTCTGGTTTGTCATGCTAAGATGGTTTGAATGATATACAGGGTTAGTCCCCAGGGGTCATCCCGACCCCCTGCCATTTGAGAAAGTTCTTATATCTTGTAAATGGTCGAGATCCCCACCCCTAAACCATATATATTCTGGTTTGTCATGATAAAGCACATCAAATGAAATACAGGGTTAGTCCCCAGGGGTCACCCCCACCCCCTGCCATTTAAGAAAGTTCTAATATCTTGTAAGTGGTCAAGATCCCCACCCCTAAACCATATATATTCTGGTTTGTCATGCTAAGATGGTTTGAATGATATACAGGGTTAGTCCCCAGGGGTCATCCCGACCCCCTGCCATTTGAGAAAGTTTCTAATATCTTGTAAATGGTCGAGATCCCCACCCCTAAACCATATATATTCTGGTTTGTCATGATAAAGCACATCAAATGAAATACAGGGTTAGTCCCCAGGGGTCACCCCCACCCCCTGCCATTTAAGAAAGTTTTAATATCTTGTAAGTGGTCAAGATCCCCACCCCTAAACCATATATATTCTGGTTTGTCATGCTAAGATGGTTTGAATGATATACAGGGTTAGTCCCCAGGGGTCATCCCGACCCCCTCCCATTTGAGAAAGTTCTAATATCTTGTAAATGGTCGAGATCCCCAACCCTAAACCATATATATATTCTGGTTTGTCATGATAAAGCACATCAAATGAAATACAGGGTTAGTCCCCAGGGGTCACCCCCACCCCCTGCCATTTAAGAAAGTTCTAATATCTTCTAAGTGGTCAAGATCCCCACCCCTAAACCATATATATTCTGGTTTGTCATGCGAAGATGGTTTGAATGATATACAGGGTTAGTCCCCAGGGGTCATCCCGACCCCCTGCCATTTGAGAAAGTTCTAATATCTTGTAAATGGTTGAGATCCCCACCCCTAAACCATATATATTCCTATTTGTCATGTCTCGAACATTTGAATGACGTATACGGTCAGTCCCCAGGGGTTCCCCCCACCCCCAATGTTCTAATATCTTGTAAATGGTTGAGATCCCCACCCCTAAACCATATATATTCCTGTTCGTCATGTAATGAACATTTGAATGACGTATAGGGCCAGTCCCCAGGGGTTCCTCCCCACCCCCAATGTTCTAGTATCTTGTAAATGGTCGAGATCCCCACCCCTAAACCATATATATTCTGGTTTGTCATGCCAAGATGATTTGAATGATATACAAGGTTAGTCCCCAGGCATCACTAATGCATATAACTTTACTGGACCAAACCAATTTTCACTGGACGTTGCCCAATGTCAGGCGACCCTGGGAATTACGAATTATGGGAGCTTCGTTTGGGAGACTTCGTAACAGCATCCTGTTACAATCATTTCTTGTTTATCATGTCTTTATGATGCTAGTACCCGATACATGTCCATTCAATTGTCAAAAACGGCCAATATTTATTTTACAAAAGTATTCTATTTTCCAATTAATAGCTAAAAGTTTACATTATAATAAAATTGAGAATGGAAATGGGGAATGTCTCAAAGAAATAACAACCCGACCAAAAAGCAAACAACAGCAGAAGGCCAACAATGGGTCTTCAATACAGCGAGAAAATCCCGTACCCAGAGGCGTACTTCAGCTGGCCCCTAAACAACTAGTTCAGTGATAATGAACGTCATACTAACACTCAAATATACTAAAATTTAAAATCATAGAAGACAAAAAATGCCAGAGGCTCCTGACTTGGGACAGGAGCAACGATAAGACGTTATACACATGTTTTTTAAGATCTCAACTGTCCCACTATACCACTACACAATGTAGAAAAAACAAACGCATAACAATACGCACAGTAACAACTTTTAAAACTGCTACATTTTGGGGGCAAAAAGGGGTCTTACATAGCCTACTCCTTTCGATATTTTCCAAAAAAGAATAGAGATAACTGTGGAATTTTTTTTATTTCAAATACAAATTCAAAAATACAAAACACTACATTTATACATCAAAAAAAAATATTTCCCATTTTGTATAGTTTCAAAAGAGTTGCAGCTCAATGAAATCAAACTAATGTTTTAATATTATAAATAGATTATGATAAGTTTAGTAATACATAGAAATAAAGGCCTGAAGTCAAAGAATATGTTACACTCATAACATATATATATATATATATATATGATAACCAAAAATATAAATAGCACTACAAAAATATATGTATAATTTTATTAAATTCAAAGATGGATAACTCTTCCTTTTAGAAGTCATAATCAAAAATACTCATGGTGTTAATCATGAATAGAATTGAGCTATGACCTCTGTCTGTCTGTCTGTCTAGCTAACATTAAATATCACTCTTATCCAATCGAACCACCATAATCTGGATTTCTAGTCTTCACTTTACATTCAACCAAATATAAAACTGACACACAATGCATATTACAACAACAAAAACAAATTTCTTGAGTTATGCATATTACAAATATAAAAAATCCTCATAGTATAGTTTCTTTTTTATACTTGAAATTGCCTTAACCAATTGTTTAAAATATACACACAATTGATATACCACACTCAAAATCAATAACAAATTTAATCCGACACAATTAAGATGTTTCAGTTATGTTTCTTTATAAGGCCAATTAAAATTAGTTGATAGATTTTCATCCCCGCCCGCCCCTCTGAAATCGTCCCGCCCCGATTTTTTTTATTTAAAAAAAAATTACGACTTCCGGATTTTGTTCATTTCCGTTACCGGTAACCGCCGATAATTAAGGTAGCAATACACAGTTAGGAAAAAAACTTAAAATTGACACTCATCATAATTTTTAACCACCCTCTTTTCCTTCCTATCTAATAAATAAGGCTTACTATTTTTGTTATGCATGTGTATATTTCTGGAAAGAGCATCTTCCATAGATTTCATTTTTAATAGTTAAAAAGGTGAAATATAATCTCTTTTTGGTGTAACCATGGCAACAATCTGCATTTATTTGATACAAAATATTGCGAAAAAGGGGGGTGAACATGTCACAAGTCTCAAAAATTTGGTCCAAAGGAAAATTTCAATCAATTAGAGTGATACCTTTCCTGAAACCATAGACCTATATCTATCAAGAGGTCCAAAAAAATCATATGCATTTCTGCTTGTTTTTCCATAAAATTGAATTGAAAAGATCAAGCAACAAATCTTTGTTGAAAAACACTACAATAATTTCTAGATCTAGGGCGGTGCGGATAGGAAAATACGGACTGTCAAACAGAAAATTAAATGGCCTATAAAACATGCTAAAAACAATCTAAATTATCATATAAACCCACTTGGAAGGCTATATTATTCTTCAACTATCTAAAAATCAATTTTATTGTACAAAAACTTTCATATTTAAAAAATTCACATGGCCATAATGCGAAACTAAACTTCTAACTGTGTATTGCTACCTAATTCCGTTTCATTCAAAACTTCCTGTAGCAAATTTCGGTTTTCATATTTCTTCAAGTAATATTTAACCAAAATGATTAAGGTGATATATTCTGCTGTTCTATGATGACAGCATTATCTTTCGAGAATAGATATTGCTAACGAGAAGGGCATGAAATATTCGTGTTACGAGTAACAGGCGGTGTGCACGAACGCAAATCGCCGTATGTCACAAATTTCAGTGATTAGAAATATGTGGATTTTTTTATTTATACAATGACTTTGTGTCAGGAATTTTGGACTGTGAATGATATCCAAAGCGCAAGAATCGTGGAACACATTGCTACAAAAAAACATGACTGGAATAAAGAAATTGACACAAGCACGAACTTGTACGATCTATGATCATATATTGAGTGGAAAAAAGTCTGCCAACGTACAAAATGTTTAATAGCAAGTCCTTACATTTACCCCCAAGGCTGTTACTTTTTGTGGAATAACAGCAAACACCATCTGTCCCCAACCCTTCAATAGAGTCATTAAACAACTTCTTCTTTTTGGTTAAGTTTCATGTTTTACATTGTATATTTTCACGGCTGCATAAAAGTCATAAGGTTCATGTGGACTCTGGCTAAAATGGCTGCGTTTTCACCTCAAAATTTACTCTGAGTATAGACAAACTTGTGCATCTGGAAAAGTTTTAAGGCATAGCATGCCCCAGATCAATTAAATTCACATGCATTGTTTGTTTTAGAAAACATGCAGAAGATGATTAAACATGATGTACAAACAGTTGAGTTTCGCTTGATATGGTGATTGGTCCACTCAGGTACACAGTTTAAATCACCAATTATTGTCAGGTATCTTATGATTGCCCTTGTCAATCAATACAGTTGTTCACTTCAATTATTTCATGTGGGAAAGTTTTCAAACCTTTCCCAACTTAGTTTATTTTGGCACCTTCTGGAGGAATGAAAAAAAGTGCAATGGAAAATCCTGTTAAGTTTTTAATTTTCAAAAACATAGAATATATTTGAATTGTATTTATCTAAGGCATGCTTTGTCTTAAAACTTTTCCAGATACACAGGATTGTCTGTACTCAAGAGTCAATTTTGAGGTGAAAATGCAGCCATTTTAGCCAAAGGGTCCACATGAACCTTAAAAGCATAAACCCTAGTATTTTCAACACAGTTTTCACTCTGTACTCATAATACTTGTAATGGGCACTACAAACCATGGCATAGCTTAGAAAGCAAAAATAAATTTGATGTAGGTAGTCTAAAAGAGGGCATTTCTCCACCTTTTTGCTATATACTAACAATAGGTTTCTAAAGCGGCAACTACATGTAGAACAGTGGTTGCCAATCAGAAATATTTATTAAGAAATTGAAAAATTATGTAGAATTCCTTGTATATACATGATATAAGCTTAATATTACCCTTGCATATGAACAGTCTGATTGAAACCAGCCCCCACTATCTACAAAGGCAAATGGATAGTGGGAGCTGGTTTTAATCAGACTGGCATATGAAGAACACGTCACAAAAGGGTATCGGAGGAAATAAAAATTTAAAAATAAAATCCTCCCACCCGCCCCATTTTTTTCCAAAATTTGGATGAAAATCTACTAATTAATTTTAGTTGGCCTAATGTAATTTATTAAAAGAAAACATTATCTTTGTCTAGTCAAGGATTTGTATAGTGTCACTATACAAATCCTTGGTCTCGTGCACACATTTTGATTCATTTTGTATAATATATATTATTCTCATGCATGTTCTTTCAATTTCAGATACAGAAAAAGAGCAACAGCCCTCAAAATAAATGTTATGACTTTTATTAAATGTTTTAAATGCTTAATTTGTTTGTGAATGTCCTGTTTGTTAATGTCTTTTATTATAATTTTATTTATGTGTTTATTATATTTGTGATATTGACCATAGTTTTTATTTCACATGGCCTTCCAAAGATTTAAAATACATTGATATTCAAACTTCTAAAAAGTTAATAGTCCAGCAAACATGCCACCCATTACAATTTCCATGTAATTGTCTGAATTTTGAACAAAATTACAAAGTTACAATTAACAGGATTAACGGTCTATTTAATATGGTTGAAGGTAACCATTTATTTTTGTGGACAATGCGACTTTTGTCGCAGACCGCTAGACATAGGAATAGTGATCCGACGGCGGTGGCAGCGTTAGCTTACTTCTTAAAAGCTTTATATTTTAGAACAAGGAAAACCTGAATGCTTCATACTATGTATATAGATGCCTAATGTTACGAAGTTTCCGTCTGCCACATGTCCATTGTCCTTCAATGATTAAGTATCATCCCCTTTAGAAGTTATCTCCCTTTTAATGATTTTTTTAACATGGCCCCCCCTCGTTGTTTTTAAAGATATAACTTTATTTAGACAAAAGGTAGATCTCATCATGATGTATTACTATATGAGGCTGCATAGGATTTCATCATCCCCTATAAGAGTTATATTCCCATGAAGCAATTTCTTTTATTTGCATTTTTCTTAAAAAGTATTAGAGATAGAATCGAATTGAAAACGGCAAAATGTACAGGACCAGATTGCAATTTTAATGAAAATATACAATCATTTTGTTATTAACCCTTATAAGAGTTATTTCCCTTGAAAAAATATACACGATTTTTGAAAAATTGTATTTCAAGAACCGGAAGTCGTAGAGACTTGGGACCTTCACCAATAATCTTAAGTTCATGTGACCTTCAATTTGCACACAAGGTCAAAGGTCACCAAGTGCAAACAAAAAGTTACGCTGCAATTTCAAGCTTGCATATTAAGAAAACGATAAGAGTTTGCTGCATACATACTGTATATAAAGTTCCTCTCGACAAGCTCTACGTTTTATACATTTAGCTCAAAAATGTCCAACTGTCTGTTCAAAGTTACATCAACATAATTCTTAAAACTAAAGTAACATGTGTATATCTTTTAAAATGTAACAGATATCAACCTACTACAAACTGCAAAGATGATCAGTAATTCAAGACCTTCAATTTGAGGTCAAAGTCAGGTCATGATGAAATTTAACCTTGACCTTCAAAGTGTAATACGACCTTGACCATGTGACATTTGAAAGGTCAAGTGGTCCTGAGTTGAGTGGTGGTAGTCCCATGTCTCTATGACTTCCGGTTCTCAAGTTTGGTATTGCATCATATATTTGATGATGCATTGTGACCTTGATGAACCTTGGAATCGTCCAATTTTTTTTTCTACAATGTTGTTCTTTAACTGCAGATCATTTATCATATAACAGATTTGAGATATCTGTTGTCGTTATACAGATAACACAGTTTGAAATTTTGTAAGCAGAGGCATGTATTTCTGAATCAACAACAGCTTACCACCTGATATTTTATGAAATTGAAAAGTTTAACATGGTTATATGTTTGACCAAATACCGAAAACATTCAATGAAAAAAATCCCCAAAAAACCAATTTGAAATTTTCATGTTTTGCATTGACTTTGTAAGTTTCATAAGTTCTATTTATATAATTGATATTGCACAATTTTTGGCACTTTGCCGAATGGGGTCATTTGATATATCAAATTGAAGGTCTTAATGAGCTCTACTCGAAAATGAAAATTTTAAACCCCCTTTTTATCCCAGTGGGCAGGATGGGGTCATTTAGTGCAAAAATTCAAACTCCTTAGATGGTCAGGTTGTCGCATATCAAATGAAAGTCCATAAAGCGTACATTTCAAATATCAAATTGACGTCCCCAAAATATGGGTTGGGTGGGGTCATTGAGTGCAAAAAATAAATTGTCTTCAAAGATAAGGTTGTTGTATATCAAATGAAAGGTCATGTGTACATTTCGAATATCAAATTCCTGACCTCCAAAAATTAGTTGGATGGGGTTATTAAGTGCAAAAATCAAACTTTCTAGAACATGGCGTTGTCGCATATCAAATGAAAGATCATCAAGTCTTCATTACATATATCATACTTCCGATCTTGAAAATTTAGGTAGATGGGGTCATTAAGTGTAAAAAGTGAAAAGTTTCAGAACGTATGCTCGTTGTATATCAAATGAAAGCTCATAAAGAGTATGTTACAAAAACATCACTTTTACAGGAAAGACCTTTCAATTATTTTACAAACAATTGAGATACTAGTTTTTTGTTTTTTTTTTCTTCCAGCATTTTTTTGACATGGCCTCCCCTCGTTTCTATTGGAGTTATCATAACCAAATATGGACCATCGATAGACCTCATCATGAAGTATTACCAGATGAGGCTGTGTAAGATTTCGTCATCCCCTTTAGAAGTTATTTCCCTTTTTAAATTTTTTTTTTTTTTCGACATGGCACCCCTCGTTGTTTTTAAAGATATGACCTTATTTGTACAATAGGTTGATCTCATCATTATGTTTTACCATATGAGGCTGCCTAGGATTTCATCATCCCCTTTTGAGAGTTATATCCCCTTGAAGCAATTTCTTTAGTTTGCATTTTTCTTAAAAAGTATTAGCGATAGAATCGAATTGAAAATGGCAGCATCTACAGGAACAAATGGCATTGTTAATAAACATAAACAATTAGTATGTTATCAATCCTTATTAGGAGTTATTTCCCTTGAAAATTTTACTCAATTTATAAAATATTTTATTTTGAGAACCGGAAGTCTTAGACTTGGGACCTTCACCAATAATCTTGAGTTCATGTGACCTTTACTTTGCACCCAAGGTCAAAGGTCTCCGAGTGCAAAAAAAAATTTACGCTGCAATTTCAAGCTTGCATATTAAGAAAATGATAAGGAATTGCTGCATGCATAGTGTATAAAATGTTCCTCTCAAAGTGCTCTACATTTTATACATAAGGCTCAAAACTGTCAGACCATCCATTCAAATGTTACGTCGAGATGATTTTCAAAAGTATAGTTTTTTATGTCCCATCCGTAGCGGAGGGAGCATTAAGTTTTACCCTTGTTCGTCTGTACGTCCAAAATGCTTATTTCCACAAAACACAGATCAAGTTTGAATTTTGGTGGCGTCACTTTATTCGTTCTAGAGTTATGCCCCTTTACAAATGGAAAAAAAATTGCTGAATTTTTCATTTCCGTTCTCTTAATAGTTTGCCTCAACAAAATGTTATGAAACTTATCCACAATGCTTATTACCACAAAACACAGATCAAGTTTGAATTTTGGTGGTGTAACTTTTACTGTTCTAGATTTGTGCCCTTTACAAAAGGAAAAATTGTTGAATTTTTCGTTTCCGTTCTCTTAATTTAGTTTGCCTCAACCTAATGTTATGAAACTTATACACAATACTTATTACTACAAAACTCTGATCAATAACAAATTTGGGTAGCGTCACTTTTATCGTTCTTCAGTTATGTCCCTTTATATGATATGCAAGCGGGGGCATCATCTGTGTCCCATGGACACATTCCCCATTTATTTTTTTTTTTCTTCCAACATTTTTTTGACATGCCCTCCTGTTTCTATTGGAGTTATCAAGACCAAATTTGGATCATCGATAGACCTCATTATGAAGAATACCAGATGACCCTGTGTAGGATTTCATCATCCCCTATAGAAGTTATCTCCCTTTTATTGTTTTTTTTCGACATGCCCCTCCCTCATTGTTTTTAAAGATATCATGACTGTATGTGAACAATAGGTAGATCTCATCATGGTGTATTACCGTATGAGGGCACGTAGGATTTCATTATCCCCTTTGAGAGTTATATCCCCTTAAAGCAATTTCTTTTATTTTCATTTTTCTTTAAAACTATTACAGATGGAATAGATTTTAAAATGGCAACATGTACAGGAACAGATGGCAATGTTAATAAACATTAACATTTTTAATTCCCTTCCGACGAAGTCGAAGGGGACTTTAGGTTTACACTCCGTCCGTCTGTATGTCTGTCTATTCATCCGCCAGTCCGGCAAATCAGTTTTCCACACTTTTTTTCTTAATCATTGAAGATATTGATTTGATATATGGTGTATTGTTTTATCATGACATGTTACAGATCAAGTTCGAATTTTGTTCCGGTCTGATGATTTTGTGCAGAGTTATGGTCCTTTGACTTAGAAAAATCACTAAAATAGTCGGTTTGCACTTTCTCATCACTTGGCGTCCGTCGTCGTCGTCGTCCGTCTTCGTAGGCATTAACTTTTGACATTTTGACATTTTTCTAGAGAACCACTGAATGGAATGAAACAAAACATGGCATGAATGTTCCTTATGAGTTGCTGACCAAGTGTTGTTACTTTATAGCCGATCCATCATCCAAGATGGCCGCCAGCGTGGGACTTAGTTTAACATAGGACCCTATAGGAAATACATACAAATGTCTTCTTTTAGAGAACCAGTGAATGGAATGAAACCAAACATGGCATGAATGTTCCTTATGAGATGCTGACCAAGTGTTGTTACTTTGCAGTCGGTCCATCACCCAAGATGGCCGCCAGCGAAGACTTAGTTTAACATAGGACCCTACGGGAAATACATACAAATGTCTTCTTTTAGAGAACCACTGAATGGAATGAAACAAAACATGGCATGAATGTTCCTTATGAGGTGCTGACCAAGTGTTGTTACTTTGCAGTCGGTCCATCATCCAAGATGGCCGCCAGCGGGGGGACTTAGTTTAACATAGGACCCTATGGGAAATACATACAAAATGTCTTCTTTTAGAGAACCACTGAATGGAATGAAACCAAACATGGCATGAATGTTCCTTATGAGGTGCTGACCAAATGTTGTTACTTTGCAGTTGGTCGATCATACAAATTGGCCGCCAGCGGGGGACTTAGTTTAACATTGGACCCTATGGGAAATACATACAAATGTCTTCTTTTAGAGAACCAGTGAATGGAATGAAACCAAACATGGAATGAATGTTCCTTATGAGATGCTGACCAAGTGTTGTTACTTTGCAGT